ACGTGCTACTTTTCTATAATAGCATGTTAGATCATCAGAGTATGTATCATATCGTTTCCAATATTCTTTTAATTGTTCATTTACAATTTTTTTTCTTTGCTCTAATATCTTTTTGTCTATTTTTTCATTTAATTTTACAGGTTTTTTATCTTTATCTAATGTCATTCCTTTTTTATTTAATTTTATCTCTTCTAATTCTTCATTCAAATCATCTTTTATCTTTATCATTGAATCAAGTGCTTTCTTTCTGTCTTTGTGATTCTGGTAATATAATCACAGAAAATCATATTTTTTTTCTGAGTCAAATGGTTGTTTGGTTATCATTTCATAACTTTCTAGTTTGAATTCTTCATCATAACTTTCAATCAAACTTGAATCTTGTAATTTGATATCAAAAAATATATCTGGAACAGATATATCTATTACATGTTTTGTTCTATCAAGTTTTACAATGAATAATTGTAAAACATAATTATTCTTTCAATCTGTAGAATCTGTTGCATCATAAACAAAAAACAGATTTGATTCAATTTCATTAATCAATTCTTGTTGTTTAGACATTTTTACATAATTAAAAATCTAGTTGGTCTTTAGACTAACTAGATCATTCAACAAAAATTATTTCCTTTACAAATCTAATAGTTTTTGAATAAATCGAATTAAAACATTTTTCACATATTTCATAATAATGAAACTCTTTCTTTTTATATATCTCACAACCTAAATATAATCCTTTAGATAAATAAGTATAATAATCTAAATAGCTACAAGAATCGCAATAATCTATATGTAATTCTTTTACTCTAACAAGATCACATTTGTAAATATAAACATTCAAATTAACTTCTTTACAATAATAATTCTCATCTTTGTTTTGCATTAGTTCTCTTTTTTCTGCTTTATCTTTAAGTTTTATCCATATATGTTTTTTATCTTTAGTGAGTTTGAATCTGTAAATTAATACTCTTCATATATAAATGAACTCATAAAATCCATGTTTTTCTTCTTTAATATCAAAATATATATATACAGAATTAAATAATCTGTTTGTTCTTCTTAATTTCACTTGTTCTCTTGGAGTTAGATATAAAAATATTTTAACCAAAATATCAAAAAACATAATTATTAAATGGTTAAAAAATTGCTTAATAATAATTACTAAGCATTTTTACATGATTAAATTTCTGTTCAGTAAATATTTACTGAACAGATATATATACAAAAAAAAATATAAAAAAAATAATATTATAATAATATTTTTTCAAATATTAAATTATACTCTCTGAAACAACAATTAGCTAGTTTATGATCCTCTTCAATAGAACAGTTATTCTCAAACTTAATATGTTTAGAATATATGTTTGTAATTCTAGAATCATATTCTTGATATATCTTAGTTAAATATTCACTATCTGTAGTCTCTCCTTCTCGATTTTTTTTTTCTTGTCATTTCAACATATTCTCAATTTTTGGTTTGATATAAATAACCTTATGAATATTTTTAAGATCGATTTCTAACCTTCTCTCTTGTAAATAATCTAAAACATCTTGTTCTTTAATATTATGATGAGTAAATACTTCAGTATCAATATGTGTATGATCAAAGATCACATAATCATAACCAGTTAATCGATTTATCTTTTCTACTTCTTTCTTGTAAGTTTCTAAGATAACATATTGAAAAATCAAGGCATGTTTTTCAATATCTTTATAGAATAAATCTAATTCGCGTTTTATTTTCAATGATGTTTTAACTGGTCAGTATACTTTTAATCCTTTATCTTCTAAATATTTTGCAAATTTTTCTCTAAATGTAGTCTTTTCAACTTTAATTCCACCTGTTAAAATGATAACTTTTGGTTCAACTTTTTGTCTTTTAACTATCTTGTAAAAATTTTCTAGATATTTTCTCTTCAAACATTTGAAAGATTCTTGTTCAATTCTCTTTTCGAATTCTGGTTGAAATTCATATCCAACTATCTGAAGGGTTTCATCAATATCTTGATCAATTATAATTCTTTTTGCTTTAGACATATTTCTTTTAACAAATACATATTCTTTTTTATCAGATATGATATCACGCAACTTTTTCAAAGATGGTTCAAGTTCATCAAGATACTCTGTAGTTTTTATTTTAAACATTTTACTGATTACCTAGATAAAAATTTATTCAGTATAATACATTGAATGAATAAAATACAATATCAATAAGGAGTTACAGACTTTCTGATGAGTTTTCTTATTCTAATACTTCCTTCAAATTTTATACCAAATATTTCTGTTTTTGTATTTTCATTAGTTGTTATATTTTCAATACAAATAGTATTAGAATCAGAATCTGAATGTAATCTCTGTACTTCTTTGATCTTATCTATTAAATTATTATCATCACATAATACTATTTTTACTTTTGAATTATTTGCAAGATTTTTAGATCTAGTTGAAAATCTTGCATTAGATACAAAGAATCCTGCTGTATTCTCAGGTTATTGCATTAAAACTGCTATGAATTTACTAATTTAACTAGGAGAAACATATGATTCTTCATCTGTTCTAAATTTAGCTTGAATTATATAATGCATATTTATAAAACTTCCAAATAAATCAATTCCTCCATCTC